TTCTGGCTTAGCTTGAGTGTTGCAGGAGTGGGGAGGAACGGAAGAGCAGTCTGCATTGTACACAGCAAGGGAGGGGTCAAGAGGGGGTGCAGCCTCCCTGAGTTGCTGGGTGGTCCTCTCTAGGCAGAGCTGAAATTCACTAGATGGCTGGCACTTCTTGTGTCATCGCCAGATTGGTTCCAACCTTGCCCACTTGACTCATGGAAAAAAATCATGAGAGCTGGCAGCAGTGTGATAAGTGTATTTTTAATCAGTTTGAAAATAGATCAGTTTATAGGGCTTGTGCATGTCTGCTAAGATAGCAAGGTTTATAGCAAATTAAAATCAGGTAGTAGTTTCGTTACCTAGTGATAGTCTCCATAAGTAGTAGATATTATTTATCATTTGTATTGCCTAGGAGCTCTAGTCAAGGACTAGAACCCCATTGTGCTAGGTGCTGTACCAAGACAGCTTACAATCCAAGTCATATGTAGTATGATTGATTAATTGTACTAGAATGGCATTTAAAAGCCGCTGTCTAGAATGGCTCATGACCGTGAGTGCCAAGCTCAGGGCAGACTGTTAAGAAGCAAACAGGTTGTGTGTTCTATACTGAGGTCAGGTCTACACTACAGACCTCTGTCGGTATAACTACGTCACTCATGGGTGTGAAAAATCCACAACCCTGAGAGAGGTAGTTATACTGACCTTAACCCCCCTGTATAGACTGTGCTTTCCTGTCGACATAGCTACAGCCTCTCGGGGTGGTGGATTAACTATGCCAACGGGAGGGCTTTCTGCTGTCTGCGTAGGCGCAGCTTCATTTAAGCGCTACAGTGGCACAGCTGTGCCAATGCAGCATTTTAAGTGTAGACCTGCCCTCAGGTTTCACCAGCCAAGTATCAAGTGTGAACTCCATAAGCGCTTCAACAGCCGTAACATGGAGGCCCCCTTGGGGACTCTGGTCTATCTTGCCTTCTAGGCAAGCTTGTCTTTGTGATAGATGGTCCCTTACACCAAAAATCACGATGATATTCAGGTTACTTCCAGGCCCAAATGACCAGTCATTTATCCCAGGACAATTGTACCTCAGATCTCAAACCTAAGACATTGCTGGTAACCAGTCCTATAACACTAACTAAAGTTTTATTAACTAAGAAAAAGAAATGAGTTATTTACAAGGTTAAAGCAGGTAACACACACTCACAGAGGAGCTACAGTCCTAGATTCCAAAAAGTGATAAGAGCTGCTACAGCTCTAGATGTCCTTTAAGGCTAACCCTAACTTGTGGATCTCTTGCTTTTGCTTATGCTTAGAAAAATTGCCCTCTCCACGTTCCAAGTTCCTTCTGGTCAGGGATTTTTATTCCCTTCCTCCAGAGTTCAAATTGATGGGACAAGTTTGGTGCCTGTCTCCCAGGGTGAAAGTAACTTAATGAACTTACCAGTATGCAGGGCGGCCGGGGTCCTGGGCAAGGCGGGGGGAGGCTCTGGGCCCCAAGAAGGGGTGGGGCCTTGGGCGGAAGCGGCGGGGCCTCGCGTGGAAGGGGCTGGGGTCAGAGTCCCCCCGGCCATCCATTCAGCGCTGCCTAGCCCGCACCGCCCAGGACTCCGACGGCAATTTAAAGGGCCAGGGGCTCTGGCCGCTGCTGGGAGCCCTGGGCCCTTTGAAATCGCTGGGCCCCTGGCAGCTTCCCCTTTTCCCCCCCCCGTCCCATCAGCGGCCCTGCCTGTACGGTTGGCTTTTCTTACCGGTACGCCGTACCATACCGTACTGGCTTACTTTCACCTCTGCTGTCTTCTCTTCATGGATTGGGGGTGGGGGGAACTCAACAAAGTCTTTGTCCACTGATGTTTCACAATGACTCATTTTGGTTTCAGTGGGCCTTCTTGTATGCACAATGAGCACGTTACATTAATTAATGCTTCTTTCCTGTTTTAGTTACATAGTTACAGAGGTGTACAATGCAAACACTCAAAATAACTTTATACCATGTGCTACAGCTGTTATAAGTGAGAGCAATGCATGCAGCATCCTACAAGCATTTCATCAAGTCTAAACACTAAACACATTCTTATCAATTTAACATCTGTTTTAACAATGCTAACACACCGGTGAGCTAGACTGATTTCCAGCTATGCGTTTGTCAGTGTTGTCAGGCTTAGGAGCCTTGGCATGAGATGCCACCTAGTCTGCCAGTATCACAACTCCAATCAAGATCAAGGCCCCATGATACTAGGTACTGTATAAATGTAGCCCTCAGGCCAGCAAACACTTGGGTATGCGATTAACTTGATACACTTGAGCAGTCCTAACTGAATTCACTGGGACTACTCGCATGATAAACTTGTTCACAACCCTGAGTCTTTGCAGATAATATAGTAAGAGAGTTTCTGCCTCTGAGGTTGCAAATGACAGGTATCCTGTAAAATATATTTTAAAGAGAGACTAGTACCCTTCAAAAAGGGACATTGATGAAACTTTGTATCTCTACACAGGATTACCTGTCCAAAAGAATATCCATGCAAAAAGGCTATATTGCTGTAATGAAGGCAGTGTTCTTTGTCTGAATGATTCATTAAGGTGCCTGCTATATGCTGAACAGGTCCCATATGGAGATTGAGTAACTGTCCTATTCAGCGGACACAAAGCACAGCTTAGGAAACCCATGAATAAATGAAGAGCCTTACACTTCCTGGCCCAGGCCTAACATAGAATGGCAGGCTGTGCAGGGCCACTTTCCAGTATTCCAACATTGGTGGTGTCATCAAAATTGAGTTGGCACTGAAGAAGGAATCACACGTTGTGTAAGTACAGACATTTAAAGGAACCAGCAAGCTGAATGTTTGTTGCTAATGGTTTGGATGGATGTATATGGATCAGCTGTGTATACTATTCTGTGCTAATAATAAACCTCCATATGTTCCCAAGTTTTCATATTTATTAGAATTGCTTTTGTGCCATTGGAGCCTTGTGTGATTCTTTTGCTTTGATTCCTTTTAGAGCTATATTGTGTGGTACTAAGAATGCCTGTTGCTATTGTCTCATAATGATCAGGTATTTAATAGGCTCTTACGTTGACCACTTTGCAGGTAACAGATTGTTCATGTGGTCTGAGGTTTTGTGTGACAAAAGGGGCCTCAGTCAAAAGATATCTACAAAACTGAGCTTTGGTGAAAAAGATGCCTTAAAAACTTTGATAGAACTACTTACTTATACTTATCAGAAATTGAAGCAAATAATGCTATCTTCCAGATAGCTACTATTCTATGCTGTTTAATACTATTGTTATTATCATCATCGTCATGATTTATTATGTGTATTGGAGTAGCACCTATGGACCCCAATCATAGACCCACGACCCTGTTATGCTTCATGCACATAACAAAAAGACAGCACCTGCCCCAAGGAGCTTACGGTGTAGCATAAGACAAAAGACAACAAATGGATACAACAGACAGACGGGGAGTACAAGGAAACAGTGGGGGCAATACTGGTCAGCAAGAAAAGCAGCAGGTCTCAGCACACCAGTGGCTTGCCCATTGTCAAGTGTTCTGTAGGCATTACGGCGGAATCGAGTGTGAAGGAGGGTAATGACGTTTATGGGGAGATCTTGCCAAGGGGAAACATGGGAGAAAGTGCGAAGGTGCTTATTTGAAAATGTAACAAAAGGGTGATGAAGGCTGGCACTCTTGGCAGAGAGGAGGCAGGAGCTGATATCTCAATAGTGTAGAAGAGATGATAGGTGGGGCTGGTACTTAACATGATTTTGGGTAGTATAAAAATGACGACAAAGAATAAATCAACCCCCTTTTTGCCATCTTCTGACATGAGTAGTTTAGAAGAACATTACATGATCACACAAATGGATGACCTGTTTAATCAGCAAACTTTTACTCTATATTTCTTAATTTTGGAATGTGATATATGTGCAAATATTATGGGGTGTTTTGAAGTTTTGCCCAAGACTACAGGTTGTGCACTTCACCCTTTACCCAAAGCTTACTGAAGTCAATGGGAGTCTTTCCTTTGACTTCAACAACTCTGGATTGCCCTTAAACTTTACATTTATGACTGGCATCTTTAAGCTCAATACATGATATTTTGATTGTTGGCAAGATGCTAAGAAAAGTACAGTGGTAAGCATTTTGCTAGAGTTTGTATGTAATCAAACCCTAAAAACTGAGCACCTAGAGAAATTCACCCCTCTGCTGAGGGCCACAACATGCACCACTTAAACCTTATTTTGAGGGCTTATGTTCAGTTTCACTCTTTCTGACTGTAGTGCCTGAACATTTGTTCAGATAGGCGCGCTCTCAGTCCTGGGGTTCCAATTGTGAACAGTCGCATATGGTGTAAGAACTAAACAACCACCTTTGGTAAATTAGTCCCCCCCCCCTATTCCTGTAGAAACTGAGTTGAAGTGGTGCATGCAACCAATGCACATTTTATTTTCACATATCCACTGTTATAAATTATGAGGTATGCTTCAGAGGATTGTTGAAGACTTATTAATGTAGTTTGGCTTTTAATGTGTAGGATATTTTTATTAACCATCACTTGCAAACCACATATGGAGAGACATTCTATTAAAAACATCACGTAAATCAGTGGTTCTCAACTGGGGGTATGTGTACCCCTGGGAGTACACAGAGGTCTTCCAGGGGGTACCTAAACTCATTTAGATATTTGCTAGCTTTACAACAGGCTACGTAAGAAGCACTAGTGAAGTCAATACAAACTAAAATTTCATACAGACAAAATGAGAAAGAAAGCAATTTTTCAGTAATAGTGTGCTGTGACACTTGTATTTTTAATGTCTGATTTTGTAAGCAAGTAGTTTTTAAGTGAGGTGAAACTTGGGGGTACGCAAGACAAAGCCAACTCTTGAAAGGGGTAGTTTGGAAAGGTTGAGAACCACTGATGTAAATCACATTATATTGTGGAAAAAATGCATGCTGCTAGTTGGGGTTTAAACAAATGTAAGGATTTACCTGTTTTTGTTTTTTGTTTCCCTACAGTTTAGAAATGATCTACCATATTTGCAACCTGCAGTGCCACTGAAAACATTAGAGCGGATCCAATTTTTAGAAGAGAAAACCCAGATTTTTCAATCTAATGTCACGACACTAACTCAAGAGAATCATCACTGGAGATTTTTAGTAAGTCCTCTCTGGTTATTCTTTTTTTTATTACTTCAGCTGAATGGTGAATTTAGACACAAGTGTGATTTTGCAGTCCAAAGATTCCTTAATTCCAAAGGTTGCCGTGAACTAAATTCAGCCTGCTTTATTACTTTTGTTATGCTTTTGAATGTTTCGATACTTTGCATTGGTATCACAAGTTTTATAATAGAGTATTATTACAGTTTTGTACAGTAGTAACACCTGAAAAAAATAATAGCAAGAATCATATGGACCATATGCATAAATATGGAAGGAGAATTTACCGTTGATAAACAAAGTTGTGATGCATTGTCTTGGGCACAAAATCATAGGGCCAGAACCTCAGTAGGTGTAGTTCAGCATAGCTCCAAGCTCTGCCGATTTATACCAGCTCAGGATCTGGCCCATAGATTTCAGTTGGATTCTTTATATATATTTTTATTACAAATTTTTGCATTGTAAATACAAAATAAATTTTATTCTCTAA